CGAAGAAAACGAACCCGGTACTCCATAACGGCTTGCCCCAACTCTGCAACAAATCGCGCCATTCTTCCGTTTCATCCGGTTCCAGAACGGATCAGACAACTTCCCAAGACGAGCCCCTCCCCAAGCTCCGGCTCAAACCCTCTGACACACTGACACCCCCGGAGGTTTCTAAAAACGCCGCGAATATTCTCGAAGCTCGTCGGCTGAAAAAGATGACGAGATACCTGCCGTCCATGCTCGCTGACCTGAACATCGACAAGCTGACCTCCAACACCACGCCCACCCACACCCCCATTAGCTCGGAGAGGTTCAACTCCCTCACCGGGTTCCACCCCGAGCAGACCCTCAACAGCGAGAGTTTATATTTCTCCTGCTTCCCGCTTCTCATCAGTGGCGGGAACGAGAACAAGCTGTTTAAAAAATCGACGAAAATCCGGCACGTGACCAACTTGGGGTTCATGCCCACGCGGCAGGCAGACGCCGACAGGAAAGACGAGGTCAAGGTCGCGACTTCCAGGAGCGCCAGCACCCAAAACGCGCGGCCGCTGAAGGAGCAGATCCTGGAGAAGTACCAAACGTCCGGTGCCACCGATGACGATCAGGCCGCCATGCTGCAAAATCTGCGTCGTGCTCTAGACGTGCCAGTGACGTCACTCCAGGTGTGTACACCGTGTTGTCTGGTAATTGTGTTCTGTAATTTTTTGTTTTTTAAAAACACCATACCCCTGGTTCTTATAGGACTAAACTATTTTATTTTTAGTCCTATAAGAACGACTAGTTTTGATACTTTCAATCGCCATCGCCAGAGTTTCTTCCAGGCATCTCTTCGAGGGGGGGGGGGGGTGGCTCTGCCCTGAAAAAGTCTACCGACCCCCCCCCCCCCCCCCCCGAACGAAATGAAATTTATATAGAAAATATATACTTTTAACAGTGTCCGCCCCCCCCCCCCCCGAAGAAAGTCTACCGCCCCTTCCCCCGAAAATTTCAAGTGCCGTCCCCCCCCCCCCCCCCCCCGGAGAAAAAAGTCTGGAAGAAACACTGGCCATCGCCAAGACCCAGCAAAAAAGTTAGCCGCCATTTTTTGCCATCAGAAATTACTTTACAATATTCGGATCATATCACTTTCTTTTTTTTTTTTTTTTTTTTTTTTTTTTGCAGCATATTACCAAAGCGGCGGAAAATTCTTTTCCGAATGTGTGGCAGGGAATTATAAAATATAGAGCCGACCCTGAGCCCGACAGCCCACCACTGAGCTACGAAACTACGGATGAGTCGAAAGCGGAAGTTGAAGTCACCGAATCCACAACACAGACGTCCCGCCCCACAAGCGGATACAACCTAAACTTTGGTAGCGGGGAGAAAAACGACCCGTGCCGACGGTTGAACGCGCGGACGGAAACGAGGCTGGCGGCACTGGAGTGTGACAACAAGAAAAAGAAGAAGCGGAACAAGAAACGGAACAAGAACGGCACGGAAATCATATCAAATGAGTTTCGAGAAATCTTTTACCCACCGTACAGCCTGCATCATTTTCAGTCTGACGCCACCAACAATGACGTCAACTACGAGCATATCTCAATCGAGGTGAAGAAGAGAAACAATTCCAAAGTTCAATACGGTTACGGTAGGTTATATTCTTACTATTATTTTATGTCAGAGGCGTAGCGACCCCTCGCGGCGCCCGGTGACAAACTTTCAATTTGCCCCCCCCCATATATATATTTTAAATTTATAATTCAAAATAGCAGCTAAAATGAGCTTATTTTGGCGCCCCTAGGGTCTACGCCCAGGGACATATGTACCCCCCCCCCCCCCCCCCCCCGTTGCTACGCCTCTGCTTTATGTAGATCTGTTTTACTAAAACAATATAAACTGGGATGGCATATCAGAAGTGGACATTGACACTGCCACTACTGTTATAGGTCATCCATAAATGTCAATGCATGTCATCCGATATAGATATCTAAAATATACCACTTACCCTATCAACTTCTATGTAATCTTAACAACAAACCCATCTCAAAGCGTAGAGGTGTTATTTTTTAAAATTAGAATTTATTTTAATATTTTTGTTTTCTAAACTCCGTCTTAAATTATTCTACTTTACGATAATAATGTGTTCTGTTTTACTGACCTCTATGTTTAACCAAGAAATCTACCCTCATTTTATCTTTAACGTTAACTCTTTTTTCCCCACGCGTGTAGTCTATATACCGGAACAAATCGTGCTGGGAAATTACCACCAAGACGCAGGGTCTGTTATAAAAAAAAATTCAGTTTTGCCGAGGGGAATTTTCTTGACTGAAACCATCCCAGACGAGATCAGGCAGGAGTGTTCCCTTAAAGGGTACGAGCTGCTCCGCTGCCTCGTGCGCGGGAAATCTCACGAACATAGCCAGATTTTTCTCGCCTCTAACAATGGGAATTCTACGTTTTCGCCGGTAATGTCGTTTTTTTTTTAGTATTTTAAAAGTAAGGTTAAACTAATCTTTAAGGGTGGGGAATTATGGGTGTCAAAGAATTACTTTCTCGGGGGGGGGGGGGGGGGGGATTTAAGTTGGACCCCCAAAATAACAGTAATCTTAAGATAAGTTACATGTCGGGACAGCTAGCTCAACAGTAAAAACCTGTTGTATGTCATAAAATCTCAATTTAAGTTCTTGAAATCGTCAGTTTGTTATGGGGAGAGGTTAAATCAATTTGTACAAATATGTTAACTTACTTTTAATGCGATGTCCCCAAAGTTTCTTCCAGACCCCCCCCCCCCCCCCCGAACGAAATGGAATTTAAACAGAAAACATATATTTTTAAAAGTGTCCGCCCCCCCACCCCCTCCACCCCACCCCCGCAATTATCAAGTCCCCCCCCCCCCCCCCAGGAGAAAAAAATCTAGAAGAAACACTGGATGTCCCTCGACACTTTAACCAAGCTGTGATATATTTATAGTATATTTTGTGTTGTGGTAAACTTACTGGTGTACATAATTTGTAAGTTTGTTGACAATTAATTTTATGAAGAATAGTCTATCTGTTTTTCCGATGAACCTTACTACTAGATTGGCATCTAGATATTCTAGTAACCATCGTTGTGCCATATAGGGAGGGTATACACACTGAGAAAAGACAGCTCCATTCTTTGCTTACATTAATTATAATATCAGTAACACTCTAAATAAAACCAGTTTAGTGGAATAGACTTGACCACACGCTAAACAAGACCAAGAAAGGCAAGGATGTTGTAAAAAATGTTTTTGAACTGCTTGTACTGTGATGCAAAACCTAACTAGCGTTTAGAATAACACGCTTGAATTTTTTTTTCTAAGACGTTAATGATATGTTTTTTGGACGCGTTACTATGGTTACCAGGTAGAGATAACAGCTTTCCAACAGCCGTACAACAGCCTTGTCAGCAGCCTGTTTGCTGTCAGTGGGACGGGCTCGGCCAAATACCGTAGCAGGATGAAGCTGCTCGTTTTACCAGCACACAAGAACCTGGTAGGTGGTGGGTAGGGTAGCACGCCAGCAGACAACTCGCCAACAACTCGCCAACAACACACTAACAACGTGACAGTGACAACAATAATTACACCATGCAACACAACAGGAACACACTGGCTCACAAAATCTTGGTGGGTCAAGGGTACTGGACCTTGTAAAACACTAGCTACACACACTTGCAACACACCAACTTAAACTTGGTGTATCATAGGAAATAGTTCAACACACCAACTCTCTTAAACTTGTGGGGGGGTGGTGGTCATGGGACATTGTTCAACACACAAGCAACACACACATGCATTACACCAGCACACAGAAAAATAGTCGTAGGTAATAGGCTATTCAACATACAACACACTGAACACAAACATTGAGCTATCAACAAACACACAACACACCAGCATGTAGCTATTAACGTACACGCAACACACCTGAATCATACTATCAAATTACATACAACACAGCAACATTCTTCAATCAACATGCAAGGAATACACCAGAATACTGCTATCAATGCACACAACACACCCACATCCTGCTAGCAACGTACACAGAACACACTAGCATTCTACCATCAAATTACACACAACACACCCTACCAACCGTACGGGATTACGTTGTTGTATCCTTGCTGACGCGACTGACCACGTGATACAGGTGATGCTGCTGCACAGATTCTGCACGTCCAGCATGGTCTACCAGGTGACGGAACACTTTCCCTGGCCGACCCTGAGTCACCTGATTAGCTCCTCAAGCAAAGGCTGGGTGGGGCCCGTGAGGAGGGGATTGGAGGAGGAGGCCCGGAGGAGTATCTTCAAGCAGATCTGTGAGGGCATGGGCCATCTGCATATGCTGGGCATTGTGCATGGGTAAGATGTCTATATAATCTTTGTCAAATACAAATAAATTGGGATACTTCCAAAGTGTGGTACTTCCAACTAATTGTGATATTTCTTAATTGTGATACCTCCAGCTAATTGTTACACGTACATTTCGAAAGTTTGTTCAAATTGTGACACATCCATCCTTTTTGACACATTATCAAATTTCAACAAATCCAACACATTTCGACACACTATCAAATTTCAACAAATCAAAAAATAATTTCAATACATCCAACAAATGTCGACACATCCACACATTTCGATACACCATCAAATTTCTACATATCACATTTCAACGCATCCATCAAATTTCAATACATCCAAAAATGTTCGATACATCCAGACATTTCGATACACCATCAAATTTCAACTCATCCATCAAATATCTATACATCCAACAAAATTCGACACCTGCTCGAATTTCGACACAACTAGATCTAATACCCCACTGTAAGTTTTATTCCAACATTTCTTCTTGTTTTCCATTTAGAGACTTGAACTGTGGGAATATTCTAGTGACTGACAAACTACAGGTGAAACTTACAGGTAAGAAACATCTCGTCATGTTAGACATATCAAGCAATGGACTTGGTGTTCTGTTATGTGTCCCATTATCCACTAACCCAGTGTCAACAGCACTAATCTATACCCAGCATGTGTTGGAAGAAATCAGACCGGACGTGTATTTGGTTACACAAGTTCCTTTAATTAACCTGGGATGAAATGTGATTGTTATAGGTTGGTTGTTGGCTACTCTACTTTGCCCCCCCCCCCCCCCCCGGGCTCCACCAACGCTTCACTCTCTAACTACTATTGCCTCAGATAACTCAGGTCACTTGGGTAAATCTCTGGCTAAAGACAGTTTTTTCCTCACTAAGTCGCGGCCAATCATGCCATATAGCTAAAAACGTTTTTTTTTCTCACTAGATTACGGCCTCTCATCACTTGTTGCTAAAGACTTAATTCTCCACTAAGTTACGTCCCCTAATACCCTGAGGCTTTTTTTTCCCCACTAGGTTACGGCCCCTCATAGCCTGTTGTATTTCTCCACTAGGTTAAGGTTCCACATGTTCCTAAACTCTAAAGACTTATTTCCCCACTAGGTTACGGCCCCTCGTGCCAGCGTATCATGATGTCCTATGATCAGATGAAGGGCAAGTTCCGGATGCGCGCGGAACCGTATGATATCTACACGCCCCCTGAGCTGTTGGGCCGAGGCGAGACTTGGACCCGTTCCTGCGACGTTTGGTCTATGTAAGTCGAGCTGCCAATTGTTTATAATCGGTCACTGACCTAAACAATATTGCAGGTTCTTCGGCTACTGACCTTAGTGTGATATTGATTTTAAGGAGCCCTTAGTTCGATCACTGACATCAAGTAATCATTAGGTTCGATCAGTGACCTCTGTTAGCCAAGAGTTCGATCACTGACCTTAACTAGCTATTAGTTCCAATCGCAGACCTCAACCCCCCCCCCCACTAGCTCTAGCTGTCAGTGTTTCTTCCAGACTTTTTTCTCTTCTCCGTGGGGGGGGGGGGGAGAGGGGGGACTTGACATTTTCGGGGGGGGGGCGCACTAAAGGACACAGTTAAAAGTATATATTTTCTATATAACTTCCATTTCGTTCTGAGGGGGGTGAGTGGACTTTCCCCGAATTGATGCCTGGAAGAAACACTGCTAGCTATTAGTTCGATGACCGACTACAATTAGCCATTATTTCGATAACTGATTTCTATATATCTTTTGTTAGTTTTCTAACCACAAAATGCCATTGGTTACTCTATAACTTCCATGTTTCCTACATTAAAAACTCAGGTTTTTGGTATTTTTTTTTATCAGGGGCATTGTCCTGCTGGAGATGACGATGGGTGAAATACCATCCACCATCAACGCCGCTGTGCGGTTAAGTGGGAGCATTAAAAAAATCGAGAGGATCGGACTCGAATCTTGTGGATATCGTGAGTGGGTGTGGAAGGCAGTGTGTGGATATTGTGTGTGTGTGTGTGTTTGTGTGTGTGTGGTGTACAGGGGAATGTGGGTGTTGGTTAGTGTCAGCTGGCTAGTGTCAGATGGTTAGTGTCATATGGTTAGTGTCAGCTGGTTAGTGTCATACGTTTAGTGTCATACGGTTAGTGTCATATGGTTAGTGTCATACGGTTAGTGTCATATGGTTAGTGTCATGTGGTTAGTGTCATACGGTTAGTGTCAGCTGGTTAGTGTCACATGGTTAGTGTCATACGTTTAGTGTCATACGGTTAGTGTCAGATGATGGGTGGGGTCAGCTGGTTAGTGTCAACTGGTTAGTGTCAGATGGTTAGTGTCAGCTGGCTAGTGTCAACTGGTTAGTTTCAGTTGGTTAGTGTCAGTTGGTTAGTGTCAGTTGGTTAGTGTCAGATGGTTAGTGTCAGCTGGTTAGAGTCAGCTGGCTAGTGTCATATTGTTAGTGTCAGAATACTTATACAAAACGCTTACTCTCAGATGGGCAGTGTCAATATATTTACGCATATAAAACTGTTTAATACAATTATTATTTTTTTCTTAGCTAGTGTAGATGGCTAATGTCAGTATTTTCACACATATACAACTGTCTAACAATATTACTACTAGACTCTATGTGTTTTTACATGACACATTCATCTGTCATTAACCTTCGCATGTATCCAATCAGAGTTGAGTATCCTGATTGACAAGATCCTCCAGCCCCGACCCTCCCAGCGCCCCTCCGTCTGGTCCCTGTCCCACCACGCCTGGCTATCAGACGGCACGGACCTGGCCAAAGAGCTGGGTCGGGAGACCAAGAAGGGCATCAAGAGGATAGACGGCTCCACTTTTCCATTGGTCAGTTGCACATCACAGGTTTCAGCTCTATACTGGTGTTCGTTTGTGTGCGTGTATGTGTGTTTTTGTTTGTGTGTGTGTTCGTTTGTGTTTATATATATATATATATATATATATATATATGTGTGTGTGTGAGTGTGTGTATGTGTGTATATGTGTGTGTATGTGTGTATTCGGTACCCTGGGGCAGATGAAGCTAGTTAGATGAGGACAGCAACACATCTTAAGCTTTAGGGTTATCCATTGGTTTCCTTAGGGCAGCTTTAACGGCACGGCTGTTGGCTGGCTGTATAGATAATGCCTCTCCTCTGGTTCCGTCAGCTGTGTGGAGAGAGGGGATACATGGAAAACATTTGGCTCTTCTCAACTTGCTGTCTAGGCTTTGCGCCTTGATGTCCAACATGCAATCATCCAATCGTCCATCATACTATGGAGCCATTTATTTATTTATGGTATATGCTTATATATATATATATATATATATATATATATATATATATATATATATATATATATATATATATATATATATATATATATATATATATATAGGTATATTTATTTATTTTTATTAACGAATATAGTTTAATACACACATGAAGTTATATTTTCCAGCCCAAGAGGGTCCAGAACCTAGACATGCCGACACCAGATGCGTTCTACGCATGTTCAGAATCAGATGGCGACCCAGTGGACGAGTACGGCAATTTTTACCTGGAGGTCAACTCGTCAACAGAGCTGCGTCATAACATGGCGCGAATGCTGGGCCCTGTAGACCAGAGGGAATATAGTCGGGTAGGCTGGAAGTTTTCTCAGAGAAAATCTACGGGATATGAAACAGGAGAGCCGTTCCCTCCGAGTGGGCTGATCACCAGTGTAGATGGGTGTGTAGATCATACCGCGGGGGGAAAGAGTCCACGTGTAGAGGATGCGGAGAAATCTGGTGAAAAAAGTCCCGACAGGTTATTTACAAGAAGAAAAGTCGGCAAATGTTTTCTGTCGAAACTAGTTGACAGTTTTGACTGTCTTCAATCCAGCAGTCCGGAAAGTGATTCCATCAAGTTGGCACCTCCTGAAATCGACGACCCCCACGGTGAATACACTAGGACGACACTCGCGCCGAATACAAGTAACCACGTACCGGATGTGCCGCACAGCTCAACCGACGTCACAACGACGACGGACGGAAATGTGTATTACATTGATCGGTTTGGAGAGAGCGTCTACGACCACCGGGGGGTCCAGTGCGAGTTCGTGCTGGAAGATGACGAGCGCGCCCTGGAGGAAATGGAGAATCTCATCAAGCGGGAGGAGACGAGCTTCTGGGGTCAGGACAGCCTTGACATTGGGGATGCAAGCGGGGATGTGTTTGCTGCATTGTGACGTCAGTAATCTAACACGTTGTTTTTTCCCCCGATGAATACAACAAGAATCCTGGTAAATTCATCAGAAGTCATTGTGAATTTTGTTTACGGTAACCTAGATTAATCCACTACGTTTTCAGATGAATCCACCACGAATTCTAATGAATCTACTAAATTTCCTGTTGAATAGCGAAATTCACTTCGGATGAATCCACCGTAAATCCTTTAAAAATGAATCCTGATGAATCCTCCATGAAACTTGTCAAATCCCCAAGAAGCACGCCGATGAATTCACTCCCCGAACTGACGAACGACACAATCACGTGACAAAATGGCTGACTTTTGGTTGATATCCCCTGCCTATGACTGACTGAAAAAAATATGTGATAGACGAAATATTCAAAGCCTCCTAAAATATATTTCTACATACATACACACAAAACCAATCATCATCATGGCATGTAGTTTACCGCCATATTTAATTTATGTTCTATCCAAACACGTGATATATTTGTGTGATTTATTTGTGTTGTGATCGTAATAGTAAAAATAATGAAACATTTCGTAATATACCCTCATAAAAACCATTATACCCATTTTAAATACGATTTTGTCATTTTAAAAGTCATCTTTTATTTTTACTACTGGAAAAATATGAATTGCTTGTACATTAAGCAAATAAAATAAAATAACAATTTTATCATCTATTATTATGTTGCTTTCTATGTTGGCATATTATTTAATCGATCGATTTTATCATCTGGTAAAATTAATATTCTCCGAGATGTGTGTATGACTTTGAGAGATGTTGCGCTTTCATAATGATTATCTTCTGTAAGAAAAGTGGAAAAATAAATAATCGGAGAAAAATCATAGAGAAAATTTTGATGTATAATAAATTATATGCTACTCTTGTGTGATTAAAAATCTATAGGCAAAATGTACTCCTTCATTCAAAGCATTAAAACACTTGGTCTAACCTTACATTACTGATTCCAAAAATAGATGCATCCATATTTACAATCAAATAGTTTTAAAATAAATAAATAAGATTGACACTTTGATAATGAAAAAGAAACGTTTCAGCGCTTTTAATTTTAAATGGAGAAATATGGTCGAAACATCACATTTTGTGTTTTTGTTAAAATAAAAATTTCAACTTAGATCTATATTTTATTCAACGCTACTCATTTTAAACACTAGGTGAAGAAATATTAAGAATCAATGAATTCTCAACTTCATTTATTATAACAGTGACGTCAATGAATAATGCGCACTACTCTCTAAGAGCTTGTTTTAAAATGACGTCAAAAAGAATTGTATTTTTATTTACGTAAAAAGGAAATAACGTTAGGATCTAATACTATAACCGGAAGACCTAATACAAATTTACCAGCTTTTACACGGCAAGAAACAGTTCATTTTTATACAGATCTATTGAACTAGCAACAAGAAGTTCTAGAACCAAGAGAAACAGCTGAGACATGAACGGTCAGTAAAAATAATGTACATTAAACAGTCTATAGTCTATAGAATCTAGATCTAGAAATCTAGATAGATTATGCCTGCGTTTTATGATTAAAAACTTGTTAAAATAGCTAGATCTAGAAATCTAGATCTAGGTCTAGTAGTACCTAGATCTATGAGCAATTATAGATCTAGCTTCTAAATCTAGATCGATGTATCTAGATCTAGACGCTAGATAAAAATCTAGATCTGGATTAGACTAGTGGCTAGACAGATCTACACCTAGACTCTAGATGTTGAATGTAATCTAGAAGTCTAGATCTTGACTTAGTAAGCCTACTAGAGATTTTTATAGAGATCTAGATCTAGAATCTAAGTGTCTATTCTTGATCTTGATCTAGAAATCAATCATTAAATTAAAACTGATCGATCAACAGAGCACGCTCGAAAGCTTAACGCGCAGTTTTATTACAGAAATTTCTAAACATTTTTCTACACTCACCCCTCCGTCTTAACCCCTTCTCATTCGCCAGTAGATCTAGATCTAGATATAGATCTATTCCTCCGACAATAGTCTTAGTTAGCCTAATAATGGAGTCCCAGTCCAGGCCATTTTATTGAATACAATCAGCTTTACAGAGATGTAAATCAGTTTGTCTTTTAGGAGACGCAGACATTGGATATATAACACTTTGTGTTAATAGAAAACAGGCGTGTGTCATGTAATAATAATTTTATTTTTATCTGGCTAAGGAAAGGAAACCCTACACTATTATACTAAACAACGTATATTAAAACTCAAGAAGAACGTAGGTGATTTTTAATTTTATGTGGTATAGTATTGCTGTTCCCACCTGGTCATAACCCTAACGCAAACCCCTAAGGTTTAAACATAACCCTAGTAGTGTCCCAATGCCAGATACAAGGCAGGAAGACAAGATTTCTATAAGTTACTGCATCAACTTGTCCGCGTGTAGTACCGCCATATTGAAAGGAAATTTCTAATGTATTGAATCGTTAGTATTTTTTGTTAACACTATCTCAACAAAAGCTAACCCTAATCTTAACTAGTGGCATTAGCTGTCCCTCACTTATTAAAACGCTAGAAGGTTTAGTATCTCAATTCTAAACATAAATCTAGTCATAGCCGTATCTCTAAGTATAGCCCTAACCATGTTCCTAACCTTAAGCCTTGCTTTGGCCTTTTATCGGCACAAGTAACTTCGATACAGTGGCGTAGCCAGGATCGTCTCAAGGGGGGGGGGGTTCCAATTTTTACCCGGGGACAAACTTTCGATTTGCACCCCCCCAAACTTTCGATTTGCACCCCCCCCCCTCAAACTTTCTACCCCCCCCCCCCTTGCCTACGCCACTGCTTCGATACGACTCCGTATCTCCAGGCCTACGTTTTTAAATAGGAATAGAATCTTTTCTTTTCATTTTAGTAAATCTCCTAGTAACTCTGAACTTAACATACGGTTGAAAACCTAATTGCAATTCATTGTACAAAATTAACCTTTGTAATCTGTTTACTTTCTAGTGGGAAGCAAAGTCGAGGGCGTACCAAAGGCCAAAAATGAAATCGCCAATGCAATTAAAACTGCTGGTAAACCGGAGAACCTGACCCAGAGGGATCTGGGGGAAAAAGTTATTCCAGGTAACCACGACAACAAAATATTGTACTATAAGATTAACCATAGCCGTGTATTGATATGGTCAGTATTTCCCATAGGGATACTTAAATCATCAGTAAATAACCAACTATAGTCAGACTTATACGATGCATTTGTGTAGTAAGTATAGATAATTATAGATAATTATCAAACTTAGGCCTTCATTCTTAGCTTAGCCGTAAGACCCTGAGGGATCTTGTATTGTAAATTTTCTACTAGCTATATTAATATGTTAGCTAAGCAAACTAATGATAGCCATGACATTTTACCAGACGAAAATATAACAAACTCAAATATATATTTTTAAAGAATCTAAAGAAATATATTTTTAAAATTTCGTATAATTGTTTTTAGACACGAGATCGTCCTACATTTTGGGGAAGTTGAAGGAAAAAGATTCACCATCACCATCACCAGTAGACGGCGGCAAACAGGAAAATGATGAAAACAGCAACAACAGCAGCAGCAACATCAACTGCAACAACAGCAGCATGGACAACTCCAAACACGATCTCATCCACACCCCACAGGACAAGATGGCCGTACTCGACGCTCAGAAAACGAAAGCGGAAATGCCCGCGTCGGCGTCTACTTCCGGGTCAACCTTGACCCCGGATACCACCTGTTCGGGAGAGATCGCCTTCATCGACCCCCGCCAGAACCAGGTGTTTCAGGTCCTGACTGGCATCCAGCAGCTGAGGAAAGGTGGGCAGTTTGCTGACCTGACCGTCAAAGTCAGGGATGTTGAGTTCAGGTAAGCGAATCTGATGGTACTTGTTGCTTAGGTAATATGGGGGGGGGGGAGGGATTCATTTAGATATGACGTCACTCACATTGGGAGCTTTCTCAAATTGTTGCAGAGATCTACTACATTGGCCACATCAACAAATTGTAACCGGAACCCAAGCCCGAAACCTAAGGCTACATTTAATAATAACTATTTGGGGCCAATGCCCTGACTTAACTTTAACCATAACAGCTATGAATGCTAAAAAAATCTATAAGATACCGTACTGCCGGCGTTTTTGTAAAACCTTGTATTATCATGGTTAACTGTTACATATATTTTTTGAATGTTAAATATATAACCATTGTTAGTGTTATTTCATGATTTACCTTTATTTTTTTGGCCAGATGTCACCGATTTGTTCTGGCCACCAACTCGCCCTTTCTGCGCTCGTTGATTGAAGACTACACACAGACCAAGCTGGAGGAGGGGGACTCAAAGCACATCGGCTCCACGGGTGACGGCAGTCTCAGAGACGACGGGGACAGCATCAACAACACAAAGAACAGCATCGTCACAACCATCTTCAGCAACAACTCTCTCGGTGGAAGTCCTAGCACCCCAGAACCCAGGAAACGTTCTACCGGGACTGGAAACAAGGACGTGGTCGTGTTGAAAGGCATTCAGCCTGAGATATTTGATAAGGTAAATTATTAGAGCACTCAAGCAGAGTTTCTTCCAGGCATCTCTTCTACCGCCCCGAGCCCCCCCCCCCCCCCCCCGAACGAGATGGAATTTATATAGTAAACATATACCTTTACTAGTGTCCGCCCCCCCCCCCCCACCGGAAAATGTTGACCGCCGCCCCCCGAAAATATCAAGTGCCCCCCCCCCCCCCGAGAAAAAAGTCTGGAAGAAACACTGCACTCAAGGCATTCAGCCTGTGATATTTGATAAGGTAAATTATTAGAGCACTCAATGCATTGAGCCTGAGATATTTGATAAGGTAAATTATAAATTAATCACAGATAGGAACCACCTTAAAATACTGGATAAGTTAATTTGTTACAACAGTTAAGATATCCAGCCTCAGATATTTTATAGATAACTAGTTAAAGCACTCAAGGCAACCAGCCAGAAATATTTGATCTTGTGGGTCGACGTGGTCGAGTCGATAAAGCTTATGGTTGCTAAACTTAACGTCCCGAGTTTGAACCCCCGGGTAGGTGAGTCTCGACCCGTCTAGTTGAGAAAATTCCAAGATTAAACAACTGCTGCCTTATTATTTGTACTTGGTTGGATAAAGGTTACGAAGCGAACTCAGAAAGTAAAACAGGCTGAAATCGAAGCCAACGGTCTATACTACGCATAACAAGTTGCATAACAAGTTGCTACGTATTACTTTATTAAGTGTTGGAGGAAATCCCATTCAAACAAAACAATTTAGAACGAAGAAGAAGAAGACTCAGCATGTGATATAGGATAAGGTAACTGGTCACAATTGTGATTCTTCACAGAATATCATCAAGGAGGGGATTGTAGGCAATAAACTACCAAAAACCTAGCTTCAATGGCCCTTTATTTCTGTTGGTTTTTGTATTCAGTTTTATAATTACCCACTAAGTTGCCAATCATGATAACACATGCGAACATGGTTTAAAAAAAAAGAATAAAACACCTGGTTTAAAAATATTTTTAAATTTTCAAACAATTTTTATTTTCTAAAGATTTTTTTTTCATATTAGGTATTAGACTTCATGTACTGCGTGTTCGATGACGTCATCACCAAGGAAAATGCCCTGGAGCTTCTGCTGGCAGCCGACACGTTCCAGCTGACCTATCTGAGGAGAACTTGTGCCAGCTTCGTCACAGACACCCTCTCGGCCAGTAACGTCTTTGACGTCATCACCCTGTGTGACGCAGGCTATGCTAATTTGTTTGAGCCAAAGGTCATGAGGCGGAGCCACCAGGTAATAATGATTAAATGGGCTAACCACCGCTCTAACCATAATCCTAAGCATCTGAGATGGGACAGAAAAACGCGCGATACCGTTATGTAACAGTCCTGCTGGCGTTTTAACAAAAAAAAAACCCGATTCAGAGATAGGATCAGTGCTGTTTAAAAATAACCAAAGGAGAAGGCTACGGTTAAATTAATGTTGCAGTATTTGCAAAAAAAAAAAAAAAAGCTTTGATTGGAGTTAATTTTAAAATGTTATTTTGCATACTTAGTTAATTAAAACTAGAAACTGGAATCAATTTATCGCGTTGTTCCTTCAGGTGATCCGGGAAAACTTCTCCCAGTTGAGCACGACAGACGAGTTTCTGGCACTGAGCCGACACCACATGATTCCACTGATTGCTGACAGCATGCTGCACGCCCAGGAAGAGATGGATGTCATACAGGCCCTACTCAGGTGAGAACTTGGGATCTCTTAAATTGTGGTAAGGGAAGTAACTTGTGTGCAGGTTTTTAAAATGCGTTATCTCCCTTGTGTTATTTCCAAATTGTAGAAATTTACTTTTAAAATTTGGAATGTTTGGAGTTTGGTAGACAGTTATCATCTAGGTGGGTGTTGCAGTTTTCTTCCCGTGTAAAATAATATTAAAATTTGACAAACCTATTATTATAGTCCAAACGATCGCTAACCTAAACGACATTTCACACAAAGAATCCAATCAGCGTCATGGTATTGTCATGTTGCAAGTTTAAGGCTGGTTGTTTGTCTACTGCTTTTCGATGTGCCATCATGCACAGAGTTCGCTAATACTGATAGTTCCAAAAACTTGACAATACTGCAATGTCAGTTTAAACAATCTGGTGTTCTTACAATGCTCTCACTGATATATTCCTTACGGTTATATCGTGCTGACAGTGACACATTTCAGATGGTGTCAAGTCTAGGTTGAGAATTTCGATTGCTAACATATTTACTTAAAACAAACTTTTTTCCCTTCAAATCGGCATAATGTGCAATTAGCCATTGCTTATTTAGCTAATGTAATCGATTTCATTTCGAGAAATTTCGTGTAATCAAACAAACTTGAGCGATTGCTGTACGATTCATTTTACAGTGTAAGCACAAAACAAGCCTTAAAAAAAACTCTATTCATTTCTCCTCAAAGCTTAGTTTTCATTTTTATCAACAAAATGGATATAACACAGCTTTAAATACTTGAGGGGCTTAGCGACATTTTTATTTTTACAGGTTTACATTATTTTAACACATAATTATGTCGTTTGCTAGTGGTAAACACCGCCTGGTTATACATTTTAAAATAATGTACTTGCTTGTCTTTCTGTGATACTATATAATTTATTTTACTTTACAAGGTTTTTACACATCATTTCTTCGACTATTTTCTATAGTTGGCCTCTACATTACAGTTTATATTTCCCCAAGATCTCGTTCAATATAGCTGTCCTATAATACAAAGCTTTCATTATCTTCTAACTACAAACTATCTACTGTTGTACGATTAGATGGGTCAAGTTCCGTCCCGAGGAAAGATGCGCAGACTTGACGCTCATGTTGCAGCACATCCGGTTCCCGCTTATGACCTCTAGAGAACTGGACAAATTGCGGGAAATCCCCATGCTCCGTGAGAACTCTCTAGCAATGGCGCTGGTGGATGAATCGAGAGCCTATGAGTAAGTGCAGGCATGTTTACATAAAACTAATGTTTACATTAGGGCTAATTTTTTTAGTAAAGAAACACGTCGTTTTTACTTCAATTTCCAACTATAGCTAAGTTCAATATAGGTAGAAGATAGAGGCAATTGCTAGTGGAAGTGGCTCCCCCCCCCCCCCCAACACACACACTTCCCACGCCTATTACTATCATCTTCTTTTTCCGTTCGTGCCCAACACCCATGTGGCAGATGAAATAGAGTCAATCTGTTAAGTTATCTCGGCACACGAGGGGGGTAAATGTGGTCAGCACTACGCCCAGCCGCCTTTTTTCCCTTATGAGAGTCCATCAGAAATGAGTGGACTCAGTGACGTCATACAGACTCAAGCACGGGATCCGAACTCGAGACATAATAAAAAGGAATTTGTGGAAAAACGTAGGCCTATCTAAGCTAACAAACCTTTTTACATATTTGCAATTTTATATTTTATATAAGTTAATCTGTTCTTAATTTTTCTCTAAAGTTTATGTTTCTGTTTGATTCTTGTCATGGAATAAAAAGGTTTATGTGACTCAACCGACATATGTTGGGTACCCAATTGTGCTGATGTGAACCCGGGCACTTCATTCTTAACAGTTTCAAATAGGGTTTTTCAAATGGCGTTTTTAGTTATCTATACTAGACCACACCGTCACTGACAACGTATCGCCGAAAAAAATGTCATTAAAATATAAAAAATGCACTGACATGAATGAGCTGCTGATTCTCTCACGACAGAACCATCGACTACACCGACCGTCTGGCATGGCCTCGTCACAACTGCATCTCGCGCTGCCTGTTCCCATCACGTGACTTCATCATGTGGACGGCTGACCGCGACAAGGGCCTGCACTTCTACTCCATCATCGACGGCATCCACCACAAGGTGACCAGCTTTGGCGAGCTCAGCATGCCCAACGGTTTTGCCTTTGACAGCACCTCCTCTGTGTGCACTTATGCAGATAGAATCTATTTCACTGGTAGGTCACACCTATGGTAATGATCCGTTTGAACTATTCACTAAATAACTTTTGTTTTATTGAAATACGAGCCGACCCGCGGCATATCATACGCCGCTATTTAGTTGTTGTTTTTTTCTACTTTTCAGTTATTCATAATTTGTTAATTCGACACTACCAACGCTGCCACTGAAAATATTTCTTTAAAACAATATAAGTAGCTCGTTAAGGACGATAACCCCCCCCCCCCTCCTCCCCCCTCCGTTAAAGTAAACTCCACTTAGTTACCCCCCCCCCCCTACGTTTAAAATCGTTTCAAACTGCCCCTAATAGTCGTCACTAAACCCGGATCTGTTTGTAAACATTTAGAGTGAACCACAGCTCACCAGACCATGTAGGGGTGGGGGTGGTAGGGAGCGCGTTTACAGCTTGTTTTCTAGCGTCTCCCAGAATAGAATTATATATATAGATATAGATATCTGTTTTTTGGATAATGTACCATTTTTACAAGGAAGGGAAGTCAGCGGCGTAAGCAGAATTTTGTAATGCCGTCGGCAATAGCCGTAAATTAACGTCAGATGGCTGTCCTTTTGGAGTCCATCTACCCGCACCAGCTCCCACCACATACATGCATTGAATCAGAAGCGTAGCGACCCTTCCCGGCGCCCGGGGACAAACTTTCGATTAGCACCCCCCCCCCTCAAGATTTCGATTTGCACCCCCCCCTCAAATTTTCGATTTGCACCCCCCCCCCCTCAAATTTTCGATTTGCACCCCCCCTCAAGCTTTCAATTTATTTTTCCAACCCATTTTGGCGCCCCCTAAGGCCGGCGCCCGGGGACATATGTCCCCCGCCCCCCCCCCCCTCGCTACGCCTCTGCATTGAATGAAAAGGCCTTAAAGTAATTAAGAAAGAAATCACAAACGAATTCTCACTTAAAATAAAAGCGTGCGTTGTGGTTATTCAGCTTACTCGAATTTCAATAGGTTAAGCTTTCAGATTCAACATTGGGTAATTGTACTTCCGGAATGTTGATGTTTTTTTTTTAAATCTATCACATTCTCTGTTTTATCTATATTTCATATGATTGAGTGTAAGTTATTGATTGTTCAACAGGGGGAGAGTTCAACACTGACCTAACTTGGAGTGTGGACAGCAGCACTGGCGAGGTGAAAATTCATGCTAAAATGCCAAGAGGTCGCAAGTTCCATAGCATGGTGGCAGCTAAAGGGTGTATCTACTGTCTGGGGGGACAAGACAAGAGGGGGTACTCAGGTAAAGACTACATTTACTTTCATGGTGGTCAGGTAAAGGTTACATTTACTTTCATGGTGGTCAGGTAAAGGCTACATTTACTTTCATGGTGGTCAGGTAAAGGCTACATTTACTTTCTTGGTGGTCAGGTAAAGATTACATTTACTTTCATGGTGGTCAGGTAAAGGCTACATTTACTTTCTTGGTGGTCAGGTAAAGGCTACATTCACTTTCATGGTGGTCAGGTAAAGGCTACATCTACTGTATGGTGGTCAGGTAAAGGCTACATCTACTGTATGGTGGTCAGGTAAAGGCTACATCTACTGTATGGTGGTCAGGTAAAGGCTACATCTACTGTATGGTGGTCACGTAAAGGCTACATCTACTGTATGGTGGTCAGGTAAAGGCTAGAGCTACGGTCAGGGTGGTCAGGTAAAGGCTACATCTGCAGTATGGTGGTCAGGTAAAGGCTACATCTACTGTATGGTGGTCAGGTAAAGGCTACATCTACTGTATGGTGGTCAGGTAAAGGCTACATTTACTGTATGGTGGTCAGGTAAAGGTTACATCTACTGTATGGTGGTCAGGTAAAGGTTACATCTACTGTATGGTGGTCAGGTAAAGGCTAGAGCTACGGTCAGGGTGGTCAGGTAAAGGCTACATCTGCAGTATGGTGGTCAGGTAAAGGTTACATCTACTGTATGGTGGTCAGGTAAAGGTTACATCTACTGTATGGTGGTCAGGTAAAGGCTAGATCTACGGTCAGGGTGGTCAGGTAAAGGCTACATCTGCAGTATGGTGGTCAGGTAAAGGCTACATCTGCAGTATGGGTGGTCAGGTAAAGGTTACATCTACTGTATGGTGGTCAGGTAAAGGCTACATCTGCAGTATGGTGGTCAGGTAAAGGTTACATCTACTGTATGGTGGTCAGGTAAAGGTTACATCTACTGTATGGTGGTCAGGTAAAGGCTAGATCTACGGTCAGGGTGGTCAGGTAAAGGCTACATCTGCAGTATGGTGGTCAGGTAAAGGCTAGATCTACGGTCAGGGTGGTCAGGTGAAGGCTACATTTACTTTCATGATGGTCAGGTAAAGGCTACATCTACTGTATGGTGGTCAGGTAAAGGCTAGATCTACTGTATGGTGGTCAGGTAAAGGCTACATCTGCAGTATGGTGGTCAGGTAAAGGCTACATCTGCAGTATGGGTGGTCAGGTAAAGGTTACATCTACTGTATGGTGGTCACGTAAAGGCTACATCTACTGTATGGTGGTCAGGTAAAGGCTAGATCTACTGTATGGTGGTCAGGTAAAGGCTACATCTGCAGTATGGTGGTCAGGTAAAGGTTACATCTACTGTATGGTGGTCAGGTAAAGGTTACATCTACTGTATGGTGGTCAGGTAAAGGCTAGATCTACGGTCAGGGTGGTCAGGTAAAGGCTACATCTGCAGTATGGTGGTCAGGTAAAGGTTACATCTACTGTATGGTGGTCAGGTAAAGGCTACATTTACTTTCATGATGGTCAGGTAAAGGCTACATTTACTGTATGGGTGGTCAGGTAAAGGTTACATCTACTGTATGGTGGTCAGGTGAAGGCTACATTTACTTTCATGATGGTCAGGTAAAGGCTACATTTACTGTATGGGTGGTCAGGTAAAGGCTACATTTACTTTCATGGTGGTCAGGTAAAGGCTACATTTACTTTCATGGTGGTCAGGTAAAGGCTACATCTGCAGTATGGGTGGTCAGGTAAAGGCTACATCTGCAGTATGGGTGGTCAGGTAAAGGCTACATCTACTGTATGGGTGGTCAGGTAAAGGCTACATCTTCTGTATGGGTGGTCAGGTAAAGGCTACATCTACGGTCAGGGTGGTCAGGTAAAGGCTACATCTGCAGTATGGGTGGTCAGGTAAAGGTTACATCTGCAGTATGGGTGGTCAGGTAAAGGCTACATTCACTTTCATGGTGGTCAGGTAAAGGCTACATCTGCAGTATGGGTGGTCAGGTAAAGGCTACATTCACTTTCATGGTGGTCAGGTAAAGGCTACATCTGCAGTATGGGTGGTCAGGTAAAGGCTACATTCACTTTCATGGTGGTCAGGTAAAGGCTACATCTGCAGTATGGTGGTCAGGTAAAGGCTACATCTGCAGTATGGGTGGTCAGGTAAAGGTTACATCTACTGTATGGTGGTCACGTAAAGGCTACATCTACTGTATGGTGGTCAGGTAAAGGCTACATCTACTGTATGGTGGTCACGTAAAGGCTACATCTACTGTATGGTGGTCAGGTAAAGGCTAGATCTACTGTATGGTGGTCAGGTAAAGGCTACATCTGCAGTATGGTGGTCAGGTAAAGGTTACATCTACTGTATGGTGGTCAGGTAAAGGTTACATCTACTGTATGGTGGTCAGGTAAAGGCTAGATCTACGGTCAGGGTGGTCAGGTAAAGGCTACATCTGCAGTATGGTGGTCAGGTAAAGGTTACATCTACTGTATGGTGGTCAGGTAAAGGCTACATTTACTTTCATGATGGTCAGGTAAAGGCTACATTTACTGTATGGGTGGTCAGGTAAAGGTTACATCTACTGTATGGTGGTCAGGTGAAGGCTACATTTACTTTCATGATGGTCAGGTAAAGGCTACATTTACTGTATGGGTGGTCAGGTAAAGGCTACATTTACTTTCATGGTGGTCAGGTAAAGGCTACATTTACTTTCATGGTGGTCAGGTAAAGGCTACATCTGCAGTATGGGTGGTCAGGTAAAGGCTACATCTGCAGTATGGGTGGTCAGGTAAAGGCTACATCTACTGTATGGGTGGTCAGGTAAAGGCTACATCTTCTGTATGGGTGGTCAGGTAAAGGCTACATCTACGGTCAGGGTGGTCAGGTAAAGGCTACATCTGCAGTATGGGTGGTCAGGTAAAGGTTACATCTGCAGTATGGGTGGTCAGGTAAAGGCTACATTCACTTTCATGGTGGTCAGGTAAAGGCTACATCTGCAGTATGGGTGGTCAGGTAAAGGCTACATTCACTTTCATGGTGGTCAGGTAAAGGCTACATCTGCAGTATGGGTGGTCAGGTAAAGGCTACATTCACTTTCATGGTGGTCAGGTAAGGCTACATCTGCAGTATGGGTGGTCAGGTAAAGGCTACATCTTCTGTATGGGTGGTCAGGTAAAGACTACATTCACTTTCATGGTGGTCAGGTAAAGGCTACATTTACTTTCATAGTGGTAAGGTAAAGGCTACATCTACGGTTAGGGTGGTCAGGTAAAGGCTACATCTACTGTATGGGTGGTCAGGTAAAGGCTACATCTTCTGTATGGGTGGTCAGGTAAAGGCTACATCTTCTGTATGGGTGGTCAGGTAAAGGCTACATCTACGGTCAGGGTGGTCAGGTAAAGGCTACATCTACTGTATGGGTGGTCAGGTAAATGCTACATCTACTATATGGGCGATCAAGGCAAAATAAATTATGTAGATACAGTTAAATAAAACTGATAACGAAAGTAGTTTATCCGTTTTGCTAATGTGTTTTCATATAATGATTCTATTTAGGGCAATATTGCCCCTATTATGAGCACGTCCATTGCCCAACCCTCCCCTATCCCCCAGAACAAAATTTTAAAATACATAAAATATATGCTTTAGCCAATGTCCGAGCCGGCAGTTGTAAGAGCCCCACCCCCATTCTCCCCGGAGAAAAATGTCTAAAAGAAACCCTGGCATAGTTTTTTATTTATTTCTGAGGTATCATCAACGCTGTTTTAGCTGCAACTGTTTTTCTCTTTTTGTCGACAGTGCTGGAGTGTGTGGACGCCTACATCATCGACAAGGACGTGTGGGTCAAGGTCGGGCATTTGTCCGTCCCGGCTTACAACATGGCGGCCGTCATCAGTGGTGGCGCCATCTACCTCGTGGGAGGGGTGGATCACTCTGGGCAACCACTTCGGATTATCCAGTGTTTTGTGGCCCTACGATCTGGTCTGTATTCGGCCTTTAAAGTGGACATTCCGAACATGCCGCCAAGCTTGCTGAGTGCCAGAGCCATAACTTCCGGTTTGGACGGCATGGTTTACATTGTCTGTGGACACGGGGAGGTAAACAACACTTCGTACCTTCTTTTTATTCGATAAAAATCTAAATAAAAGATAATTTTAAAATATTTATTTTTTAAATAACAAAAACTCACGTTTTTTTAGCTATTAAGTGTCTGAGTAGAAATTTTGATTGTAATAAACAATGTGAGATGGGTACCTGACTTACGTTATACATTTTCTATATTTATAATGCAAAACTGCAACTAAAATGAGCTTTAATTATTTTTAAACCCATTTTGGCGCCCCCTCGGGTCGGCGCCCGGGGACATATGTACCCCCCTCGCTACGCCTCTGGGGAAGGTAAAGGTGGCTGGGCATAGTGCTGACACACATTATCCCCACTCATGTGCCAAAATAACAGAAACAGGTTAAATATTCTTCGGGTTCGAAAGGGAAGTTTACTTTTACTTTTAAACCATGTGATTTAAATAAGTAATTCTCTTTGAAATGCCGTGAGCTTGTTTATATTGTTTCTTTCATGAGACTTATTTTAAAAATCTACGATGTTGGTTTAAGCTTTGTACTTCTACTACAGTTTGCTTAATGTTTTATTGATTGAATTTTCTTCGTATGGTGCACTTCCTACAAGAAAAACTGGCATATCTATTATTCCTTGAAATACTTTTAAAATAAAATGAAGAAAACTATTCAAATAGCAATAACGATCGTTCTAAGTTGAGTTTGAGTGGAGTATATATTTGAGATGTAATGCTTTTTTAAGAATAATTTTAATTCTGTCTTTGGGGTCATCCATAAATGGGGGAGGGGGGGGGGGGGTCCGTAATTTTGTGACGATGTGTGATGAGGGAGAGGGGGGGGGGGGTGGGGGTTCAGATGTTGCGACGTCAAATTTTTGCATTATAAAAAAGCAATGTTAGAAAACGAATTTTAGACGTTATTTCGCGTTTTAGATAACTGTTTTAATAAATTGTAATAGTTTAGACAAGATTTTGGAAAAATATCGATGTTTTAAAAAAAATTCAACTGCAATTTTGAGGGGGGTTGTAGGTTGAGGCGTGACGTCATTTTAGGGGGGTGGGTCTGGCTTTTTGTGACGACGTGTGACGGAGGGGAGGGGCGGTGGAGGGAAAAATCGTCAAAAAAGCGTGACGTCATTTATGGATGACCCCTTTCGCGTGGACTTATATCGCCTCTATCTTTCTGGTTTATTTTCTTTTCTTTTACGTACATAACTTCTGTCTTTCAGGCAAACCGCTTTTATTTTTCATACATACTGTTTCTATCTTTTTGGTATATTTTTCTGTCTTTTACGTATATCTCTTCTGTCTTGCTTCTATCTTTCATACATATCGCCTCTGTCTTGCAGGTCTATCGCTTTGACCCAGAGAAACGTGAACTCAACCACCTGACAACCCTGAACAACCTCAGCGAGAACCCCAGAGTCCGCTTCGGGTTGGCCCACATGGGCGGGTGCCTGGTTGTGATTGGTGGACACCAGCTGGGTCACTCCGTCCGCGAGCCAATCAGATCCGTGTGCTTGGACATCGCAACCAAGATGGAGGTCAGGGACTACTCACCCATGCTACCGGGTGAGATCGTCAACACGTGCCTAGCCGCCAAGCTCAACGCCAACATCTTGAAGCTGTTGGGAGAGTCTTAAGTGCAAATTTTGCGCTTAGTGTCAATCTGTCGTTGAACTGACAATTTTAGGCATTTTAAAATAGCTCTCATTACTTCCTAGTCTTTAAGTAAATTAGTAAATTTAAGATCACTAAGATAATATACATATTATACAATTAGTTTATAACTCAGTAACAACATAAAATTATATATATATATATATATATATATATATATATATATATATATATATATATATATATATATATATACTCATTTAGCTAAATATAAGCTGAACGCGATATTGATGAAAAGTACAAGAAACACATATAGAACATTAGCGCGAATACTCGACACACGCATTAATGGAAAAAAAATATTGATTCGCCGTAATATTAAACTTTTAGGGTAAAATGATCCACCAGATGTAGAGTTAATTACCCGCATTAAGGCAAACTTATTCGGGAAGACAACCCAGCTTTTATACATAGCTCAAGGGAAGCTACTGAAATTGTTTTTTTTATTGTTTTATTCAATTCCTTTTATTTGTTTCTTAAAATCTGTAATAATTTATTTAAAAGTTACCAAAAATATTGTCGACTGTGTAAAAAAAAATGACCACGTGGTCTAGTTCCTGTTCCTGTCATCTTCTTGTGAGAGAAATCCTTACGCATCCTTGACCTTGTTGCACACGTTCCTGTCCTAGTTTTTTTTCTAAATTTTCTGAGTTATCTTTTATTACGCCTTGATAGAAAAGATTTTTAAAAGTTTTTATACGTTGTTTCAATTTGATATGTAATGCAAGTATTTTTTTGCCTGTTTGTAAGCCATATTTGTAACTCATATTTGTGGAATTTTAGCATTTGTAATCTGGTCTCCTGAACTGGTTAAATAAAGTTTGAGACACGTTCAACCTCGTTTGGAGTTATTTGTGTTCATGCCTTTTGGCTTGAATAAAACTAGTTGTAGGTTGGGTTGTTCTTATTTTGAGTTTGAATTACTTTTAAATTTAATTTAATTTTGAGTTTTATTTACTCTCTAATTTATTTTTATTTCGAGTTTAATTTACTTTTAAACGTATTTTTATTTTGAGGATTTTTTTAAAACTTTTTAAAGTATTTTTTAAAATTTGCGTTTAAACCGTATTCTAAAGGTTTTTTTTTTTAATTTCTTCTACTATGTATAAGGGGTCATCCATTTATGAAGGGAGGGGGGGGGGGGTCTAAAGTTCCAAATTTTTGTGGACGTCATAAATGACAATGTGTACACAGACATATAGCTCTTCTTTGTACAAAAACAGTAAAACTTTTGAACTCATTTCAAATCGACCCCCGCCCACCCACACCCTTTTCCCACTAAACTTCGTTGCAAAAGTTAGAAACGATTTTTACAATATGTCTGGTCGTCCTAGCAACGATTTGGTTATTAAAATATTCAGACACGTACACTTTCTTTTTTAAAAAAAAATTAATAATAAGCGACTGAAGACCAATGTTTATAGAAACTCAGAAATATGCAGAAAACAAAATGTTACCTTTATGTACTTATCTAACAAAGAAAAAACCTCTCATTATTTAAATTCCTCCTGGGTCGTCCCAGTAAAAATGTTTCGTCGAATTGCCACACAATTTTCGATCTATTATTTAAAAATAATTACGTTTCTTTTATCTTGTAGGTTTTTTAAACAAAGACCTTCGTTCAAAATACGAGCTATTTCATATTATTTTTTCTATTGATTTTCTTTAAATTATCTTGATTTTTATATTCATTCAAATGAACGCTATTTTTTTGCATTGATTATGTAATTTTCTCCGATATTTAAATTTTTCTTATGTTTCAAGACGTTCATGATATTAACAAACTAAGTACATTTGCACAACGGCGTATTTTTGCCGTCATAACGGCAAATTTTGCCGTTATGCAAATGTACTTTGTGAGAGCAGAGACGAAAACAATAGCCTTACAATGCAAGAACAGTTAGTTTCTACATAAGGACCGTGAATTCTTACAGCTGTTATGTAAGTACTGACACAAGGAGAACATATATAGTATCAGCATGTGGGATTTAGTAAAAACTTATCAGATTAAAGTGTTTTGTTATACTTGAAAGGATTTCGGGAGGGGGGGGGGGCGGTAGACGAGCTTCAGGATGTGGGTGGGGAGGGGGGCGGCGACTCCCCCCTCTCACCCCACTGTAGGGATACCTGAAAGAAACACTGGTCGGGAGTAAGTTGTATTCTGATTTTTATTTAAATTTCAGTTTATCAAGGGCGATAACTTTATTCTTAAAATCTGTTTAAACTTTTAGCGGCGTGATAGAGATAGCATTTTTTGTGAATAAACGTTTATAACTTTATTTTAAAAATAAACTAGGCTTTTTAATTTTCAAAGTCTGCAGTTTGTGTTGGAAGTTACAAGAATCAAAAATCACATTTCGTTGGATCATTTGTTTTCTGTTATATTCACCTTAAATTTCTCTATATTAAATAAATTATAATAAAAAATCTTTTTATCAAGTTTTAATTTATAAAGCTTATTGCCTTGATACATTTTTGATAATCCTTTAAATACATCAATGAAATCTACAAGTACAAAGACTAAAGATAAAAAAACGAAAGACAAGGACAAGCTGCACTCAACTAGTGGAACATTAAATATTTTGACAAATCAACAGGAGGATGAGGAATGGAAAGATTTTGAGGAAGAAAAAGAAAAAGACTACTCAGGTCTCCGCATTCAAAATTTGCAGATAACTAAAGAACAGGATGATAGGGAAGCAGCAGATTCTATCGACAATGGTGATGATGATGATAGAGATAACAAGGACAGACGAGATGGGGCATCTGGGCCATGGAATAAATCAAACACACTTTCAACAACAGCACCAGTCCAAGTACAAATCCACCATCATGAGCCAGATAGGGAAGAAACAACGCCTAAAGCTCCTGCAAAATATGTTCCTCCTGCACAAAGACACACAGCTCATTCTTCAGTAAATACACCTAATTTCCCTTCATCTCGTAAGAAAAAAGAGGCACCAAATGTCAATAGTGAAGAAGATTTTCCTACCTTGGGTGGTGCATCTACTACTGGAAAAAGCCTTCAGTACAGTAATACAGCCTCTTCAGACCTCATTGAGAACCCTCATCAGAGAAAAAGTGTAAACCTGACATTGGAAAACAAATTTTCAGCATTGCAAGATTGATTATTGTACAATATAATAAAAGTGTACTACTGTGTTAAACCAGCGTAAATTAATTATAACATAGCTTATTACATTGTGGACTATTATTTCTGTTCAAATTTTTCTTTCTTTTAATAAAAAAAATTTTCTAACAAGAAAGCTCATGATGCTCACTTAAATTTGAATTTAAAAAAAAAAAAAGACAGTATAAACATAAACAACTAATCATACTTTTAGAGGGAAGAATTTAGTCGACTGTACTGATTTATTTTTGTAATTAAATAAAAAATTAATGGTTAAAAAAAAAAAAAAAATAATCCTTTAAGTTTACTTCAGATTTCATTCAGATGAACAGGCCAGATCACATTTCCTCCCTCCCCCAACCCCTCCCCCATACCACTCCCAATCCTGCTCTTCTCAATACTGGTGGCGAAAAAACAAGGTTACCAAGCCTCCTAACTTAGAAGTCATCAAATTTTAATGGTATCAATAAGCTGCAATATTTAAAGCTATTTTTTTGGCGGACTTTAAAATGTTTTTATTATTTTTGGTTTTATTGTTTTTGGTTTGATGAAAGTGCACACGAAGAAAGTGTGGAATGACAGCTTGTCACGTGGTACACATAATCTAAGCCAGTGAGGGGAATACAACTGAAGCATTTAAAGGCTGTGAGAGAATGGTTACAAAAATCTCCTTTTGAAATTAAAAGAAATGAATTTAAAATAAACTCTAAACTTAGTCTAAATTGGATTAAAAGAATTACCTATAGATCTTGATTGCTTTTTATTTTCGTTGTTCGACCAATTTAATTTCAAGCTAAAAATTTATTTTTTGTTAGCTTGGAAATTTGTTATTTATCGAAACTTGTTATTTATGTATTCGGTTTAATAAATGGAAATGGGGGTTTATTTTGCATGTTAAAATTGTTATATGGGAAAATTTAATTGTTTATTTTCAAACATTTTATTAATAAGCCGCGTGATATTGCAGTGAAAACCATATGTTCATAATTGCTGAATATACTTTACTAGCAGATGATGTTTGGATAGAACAATACAATGAATGAGTATAAGAGTGAATGGTTATGAATGGGTTAATTCGGTGTACTTGTCAACCCAGTACTCCCCCTTTGTTATCTCATTGAGTTTAGTGAGTAACAGTAATTTGGTCGTGTCTATCTGGACTCATCCAACATATACAAACTTTGTTTTCAGACACATGCGTATCCGACGCCAACGCAAGAGAAACCCCATTTTAATCTAATTATATTTTAGACAAATCATTAAAATAAATACAGATCAATTCAGTAACAAAAGTGGAGTCTTTAGGCAAATATTTTTAATCGCAATGTAATAATATTGTTTTTTAAAAGTAAATTTCAACTTACTATTTCAAAATTTAGAGATTCAGAATTACCAAAAAAAAAAATAGAAAAAAAAGGAAACAAGTAAAAAACCTATGTGATAAGCTTTTAAGTGCGCTGGAACACATGTTATCGACCAAAGCTTTTACCAAGAAAAGCAAGTTTGTTTTAGTTTCTTATTTTCAGTGCATGCAGGGGCTTAGCGAGGGGGGGGGGGTAGCGGGGGGTGCGGACCGCACCGGGTGACACCATTTAGGTGGGTGACACCAAGGCAAAAAAATAGCAAAATATATACAGAAAAACTAGAGGGGGGGGGGGGTGCAAATCGAAAGTTTGAGGGGGGGTGCAAATCGAAAACTTGAGGGGGGGGGGGTGCAAATCGAAAGTTTGAGGGGGGGGGGGTGCAATTCGAAAACTTGATGGGGGGGTGCAAATCGAAAATTTGAAAGTTTGTTCCTTGGAAGGGTCTCTATGCCTCTGTCTGGGGGGTGACACCATTAAGTGCCGCACCGGGTGACACCCGACCTCGCTACGCCACTGAGTGCATGTAAAGATTTTTGTTTTAAATTATTAAAGTTTTTATACCTGTTTATCATGCCAAATCTGTTCTTTGAGATAATTACAGAATAATTTTCATTACAAAACTGAAAATAATACAAGTTTTGTATAAATGTTATGTACCCATTTTTTTTAAATTGTATTGTAAATATTGCATTTAAAATAATATTTTTCAAAAGGGCATACAGTTCGTTGAGCTTCCTCTAAAAATTATAAATGCAGAAGAAAAGTTTTTTTTCTTCGAGCAAGTATGTTAGGATTAAGATTAGGGTTAGGGTCGGGGTTAGACTTAAACTAATGTCTTGGTTTGGGTTTGGTTTGGGTTTAGTTTCAGGGTGAGGTTGAGGTTAATGCTTACTCTTTTTCTTAAGGTTACGATTAAGGCAACATATAGGTCTAGAGTTGGAGTTGGAGTTAGAGTCAGTATTCTGGGACTTCGGGGATGGGAAGGGGTAATTCACCAGGGGGTAATTGCACGGGGATAATTTCGGGGGTGTGGAGGGAGGGGGGGGGGTAATTGCACGGGGATAATTTCGGGGGTGTGGGGAATGTCCGGGGGGGGGGGGATTGACAGGGGGGTAATGTCCTAGACTCGTCTTTTTTTTAAAATACAAGTATACTTCAATGTGGAGGTTATCTTTCTTTTCAGGCAGACTCCGAAGTTAAGGCCGTCTTTCTCTTCAGACATACTTCAAAGAAGCTATCTTTCTCGTTAGACAGACGTCGATTGAGCGTTGTCTTACTTTTCAAACAAGAGCAGACTTCAAAACTAATAAAAACAAGCAGGCTGAGGATGTTTATTAACGACGTAATTGACTCACAAACTGACACAAAACCGGACCATAACGGCTGTTGAGGTGTCGGCACCAGATGTGATTTGTCAGGGGGAGGGGGGGGGGCTATTCAAGTTTTACAACCTTGTTGTTAGCCAGCCACTTAATAGTTCACTCACCACATCGCATGTCTTCATTCATTCTACATTACTGGCCTCTCTTTCTTTTTTGTCTCACTATCTCTCTCTACTCTTTTTATACACACACGCATAAATATATATATATATATATATATATATATATATATATATATATATATATATATATATATATATATATATATATATATATATATATATAACCCTATGTTTTATTCACACAGAACAAACACAGGAACATGGTCAGAAACAAACCAAATCTTCTAGATCAGTTACAACAGACAGCAGCTAAAAGAAAGATAGTTCACGCTGTTCGTCAATAATTGATCCAACTGTATGGTGGACATGTCTGTGATACTGGTGTTTTAGGTGTCCGGTGGTGTGTGGTTGTTAGGTGGGGAGGGGGGATGGGTTAGTACAGGTCCATACTAGATTAAGATTGTTTCCATGTTAAGTGAATATAAACAACGAATTGAGTTTTCTTGTGCTCGTGAGATAAGTAGTTTACATTCATATGCAGTGTTTCTTTTAGACTTTTTTTCTCCGGGGGGGGGGGGGCACTTGATATTTTCGGGGGAGGGGGGAGGTGGACAACATTTTCCGGGGAGGGTGGGGGGTGGACACTGTTAAAAGTATATGTTCTCTATATAAATTCCATAGACTTTCTTCGGGGGGGGGGGGGGGGGCAGAGCCCCACAAAGAGATGCCTGGAAGAAACTCTGTTCATATGTTCAGTGCCAGTACGTATGTAATCATATAACCAGTACTGACCAATACACATCTATATTGTATGAGATAATACCCTTACTTGTTGCGTACATTTTGACACACATAGACAAAAAAATTTAAACAACGGTTAATCCAAAGTAAGAATATTGAATGAATTAATGCGGAAGAATAAGTGTGGACCCATCTTCTAAAAATGAAGGTGTTATCGTCATTTTATGGTCTCATCCACTATCTCATTGCCACACCCTAAAACACTTTCCTTTTCTACACCGCCACCCCCACCCCCTCACCGTCTTATCTCTGCCTGTTATACAACGCTGTTGCCCTGGCAACGTCTTATTTATGACTGAAACAATCACGAGGTGCTTGCTTGGCCGGATATTGCGTCACTTACTGAGTGTCCGTTGCTCATCATATAATACAAGATCCCCACCCATCTCATGAAAGGGGTCATGTCGTGTTTTAAACATAGAATAACTAAGTAGTATCCATAGCAACTAATCTTACTTAGCACGATTTCGTAAGCCGAAGAACAAAACATACGGTACATGAAGTTTTAAGACGATAGACTTCGTTGAATATTTTGAAACCAGCCAAAAGAAAAGCTGACTTGCTGAGTTAAGGCGGTGATAAACTATGGTTCTGAAAACAGTCTAGACTATTTTATTTACTGAAAGATCATGTTTACTATTTTAAAAGCTGAATTTATTACAGGTTGCTCTTTATATTTTAAAAAGTGAGGCATGATTTTATAAGCTCACCAGCATTATACATTATGGGGTAATGATATATATATATATATATATATATATATATATATATATATATATATATATATATATATATATATATATATATATATATATATATATATATATATATATATAATAATAATAATAATTGGGCGTGCCCAGCTTACTGTAAGTTAGGTGTGGGCTATAAAAAAAAGTGACGCAGAAAGGGACTTATTATTCGTCTCACCTGCCAATGATTTCTCACTCTCAAATGTTTCTTTCACTTTCAAATGTCCCCCTCACCTTCGAATGTCCACCTCATCTTCAAATGTCCCCCTCATCAGCAAATGTCCCCCTCACCTGCATGTCCCCCTCACCTGTAAATGTCCCCCTCACATGCAAATGTCCCCCTCTAACTTTCAAACGTTCCTCTCACCTTGAACCACCTGCTCTATAGACGTAGTTATCATTTAACGAATACAGTTCTGTAGCTTGAGCTCAAATGATCCACCTCCCCGTACATTTCTTCATCACCTAAGACAAACGTGCGCTTAAACTAGTTTTAATTTCCTCGACCCTGATAAAAAACACTTTATCAACAAACGAAATTAAAATAATTATTATTGTACTTCATCGCCCGTACAATTTCTTAGCTTAAATATTTGATTTATTTGATTAATCTGATTTCATTTCTCATTTAATTAAGTTAAGATTGATTTTGATATTTTTAGGTAAAATAAAAGCTAAGCGTGTAGCTTCAATTTTTCCGTTCTTGTAAATTCCAGCCTTGTTGAATGTCCGTTTAAGTATTTTAAATATAGACTCTATGCATGGCGCAGCTAATAAGGGCTTTGCTGATATTCTTTCTTTAAATCAGTTGTGTGAGATCTGAATAGAGGCAGTTTGTTTACAGATGTACTGGAGTACTTCGTTGAATTTAGTATTTGAAGTAAATTTTAGTATCACCGCACTGGGAATTTA